TTTCACTAAAAATAAAAAATCTTAAATTTAAATCATATAACATACTAATGAAGTAAAATAAAAAATAAAAAATAATTACATCTTAATATACAATTAAAATTATATATATATATCTTGTACTTTTTTCTTTTTACTCATTTTAATCTTCAAACTCAAAATATTCACCATAAAAACTCAAACTTTCACCATTGGCTAGACATAGCCTAAAAAGGACGCTTTCTTGTTATGCTTTTCAGCTGTACCTTTGCTTTTAGTTGGTAATGATCTCTAAAATCAACTTTTAAGACTTGGTCGTTGATCCCTCTCGCTTTTATTTCACCTCTTTTTCTCTTTTTTTTGCCGAATTCCATAGATGCCAAGCTGAAATCCAAGGAAAAAGGGGTTAACAATAAGGCATTTTACTTCCCACGACCAATAATTATCATCAGTCAAGAGAAGAATTATCATAGATTTCTCATAGGATTAGTTTGATTCTTCTAAAAGGTTCATTCTTCACTGTATAGTCAATTAGTCATTAATTAGTCAAGATTAACTTTTCCGGGAAGTTTTTTTTTTGGGGGATTTTTTTAAGGAAAGTTTAATAAATATATATATATATATGAGTCTACTAATTTATATCTTGCAAGTCTTATTTTCTATGAAATCAATTCGGTATATCTAAAACAAAAATGTCTTTTCAATTTAGATTTATATCGAAAATATAACTAATTTCTCACAAACTAAAAGTTGTACTTATTTAATACTTATATTCAAAAGTTATCATAAAAAAAAATTAATACTTGTAATGAATGGAATAAGATTTGCCTTCCCCTTATGAAACACCACCTTGCTAGGCGTGGATTCTATCCTCTTGGGTGGGTTAAACCTCACTAATTAATCCCATGCTTCTCATAACCAATCATTAGTTTTATTACTTAAGAAAAGATGTTGGTTTTTTATCCTTATGAGGAAAAAAAAAAAAAGAAAGGAGAAAAGAAAAACAACTTAGAAAGTATTTTTTGATGGGACAAAAAAAAAGTTTGGTAACGTTAGCACACAACAATGTGGCACTATAATTGTTTGCCTAATTCATCATTACTAATGGGGACCTCTCATTGCCCGTACCACCCCCCCAAGGCATATAACTATTATCAAAGTTTACTTGATTTCACTAAGTACTCATTCAAACTACTTAACATTTTTCTAACTATCAATTTTATCCACTTGCTCTAGACATGTTGTACAATTTGGAAGTGCATTCTTACCCCCTGCCCTTGAACAAGGTTGGAATCGCCTGTGTCCCCAAAAGTGGTAACGTTCAAAAAACGAAAGATTATCAACCCCAATGTTTAATACTACGGTAAGGGAATTTTTCTTGAATCTTTTAATTTAATATTAAAGATAGTCAACAATTTAAATAATTTAATAATTATTTTATTTTATTAAAAATAAAAAATTTTGAGTTTGAGTCGTATGACATGCAAATGAAATAAAATAAATAATAAAATATGATTGTTTCTCATTGTACAATTAAAATAAAAAAAATTATAAATCTAATTTTTAATCAGATCGATGATACACCCAAAAATGACATTTTTATTATTAATCACTTGTTTATTCTTATTCAATCCAACAGTCGAAATAAAAAGATGCTGACTGCTGAGTTTTTAACAATGGTAACGATTACAGTAATAATGATTATAATTTTTTAAAAAATATTATGTAATTTACTTGCACTAAATTATATTAAATTATATAATTTATATTATAAAATAAAAATGATAAAATCTTTAAATTCACTTCGTGAATAAGGTGATAGAAATAGATTTATTCTTAAAAAAATAGAGATAAATTACCTCTTAAATTATAAATCAAAATAATTTACTTATTTTTTAATAAAAAAATCATAATTTTATTTGTTATATCAATATTTTTTAATAAAAATGTTAAAAAAATAAATAATTTATTTTGATTTATAATTTTAAAAAATAATTTATTCTTATATTTTTTTAAAAATAGATCAATT